TCAAGAAATAGCTATTTAGCTATGTAGCTGCAAAGCAACCTACGTGCTTGCGTGTACTCTGAATGAAGTGACAATTGTGGCTTGAGCCATCATGTCATTACTGCAATCACGAGAGTAGAATATTGGGCAAGGACCTCAATGAGTACAAATGGGCATGGGAATTGAAAAGATGAGAAAAGTTATTTTTCCCCATGCGAAAGCTGCCACTTGCCCCTAAGAAGAAAGCCAGCATTTGAACACTCGACATAGAGGAGACATCGATGTACAGTTTGATTTAACCAGAGAAGCTGTGGCCCTCCAGATGCCCAGTTAAATAAGAAGACTTTTGCCTTTTTCATTGGCTCCTACTCTGCCACAAAATGAGAGGACATAGAACCTGAAGAGGAAAGAAAGGAAGAGGAGTAAAAGAATAGGGCACTTTCTTCCCTCTCCAAATCCTGTATACTAGATGCTGAGATGGAGGAGAGGAAGAGGAGGTGATTTAAGGCCTTTATAAGATTGGAGTTATGGAATTAGTCTTAACTGTCATTAAGGAAAAGGAAATATTGTGGATTTGCCATTGCAGATGAACGAATGTAGTTACTGGAGAAAAGTAGTTTAAATCTGTGCTCTACTGAGTTCAGATTTTCAATAAATCAATCCCCCCCCCCAAAATGAAATGTTTTTGAACAAGCATCTTCAAAAGGACAATTTTTAAATTAGAAAAAGTAGCATTTTTAATAACTCAAGGCATTACCTTTCTTTTTCTTATTTCCATATGGTTTAGCTTAGTATGTGTACATAAAGTAGGATTTTAAAATAGTTATCATTATTCATTGAAACTTCTGCCAGCCAAGGATTACTAGTACTGATAACTGTGCCCCGTCAAGAGTGAAATTCACACTACTGGTATAGCAGTTAAGGTCCTTTGCTTCATTTTAGCCTTTCAATCTATGTGGAAGAGGCCGGCAAGTGGTGTGGTAGTTAAGGGTGTTGGACTCCCACATGGTGGACTGTGATCCCAGACCTGGTGACTTGCTTTCTCACTTTCTCTCTGTCCCTCTGTCCCTCTCTGGTCAATTTAAAATAAGTAAATTAATAAAGTTAAATTTAAAAAAATTCTTTAAATAAAAAAGCCTATGTGGAAAAGGGGAAAGAAGGAAAGATAAAATTATATAAAGAATACCGTAGTCTTTAAATGTAACAGAATATTACCAAGGATTAATATAAGTTTAAAAGATGCTTTAAAATAAATTTCATGTAAATAAATAAGTTAAATATAAAGCCACAGGAAAAACTATTAAAAATATGTCAGAAATGGAATGTATAGTCATCATACTTACTCATCGCCTTAGAAATTCTTAGAAATACTTTGTTTTAGTGAAGCATATGGTGTTCTATTTTTCGAGAAGTACATTTTATAATGGAAGAATAATCTCAGACTTCTTTTGTTTACACATTTGGCTTAAATGTGAAGCATTAATATCTTTTAAAATGACTTTCTTCAATCCATACACTATTAGAGAATAGCTCCAGAACAATGGTCAACTTAACTTCTATTTCTAACATCAGAAAAAAAAAAAGAAATTAAAATCATTTCATTCATTTCCTTGAAGAGATAGAAAACCAAGTCAGTTGTCTAGATAGGACATGAAACTTGTTTTTAGAGCCTGAATATTCTGGTCTTACCCGTATTTCTTTACCATCCCTAGACTTGATTTCCTCACCCATCCTAGTTGTGCCTACCTACCTCATTTGATTGGCTGTTTATACGAGAGCATCAAAGTCATGTATGTCAAGTCCTTAAACTGGCCTAAAGTAAATCCTGAACGTGTGATAGCCTAAATGAATGGTAACAAGCACTGACAGTACAGCGTGTATAATTGCTATTACTGTGTTTCTCAGAATTCCTGAACAGGATCTCCACTGCCAAGATGACTGATCACATAAAGCTACTCTATTTCACAAAAGCAACTTGAGATAATGCCTGCTGACCTTATATTCCCCCCCCCAAAGTATTAAAACCATTCGAGAGTTTGCACATTTATTCTTTGAAAAATGACTTGTTCAGATCCTGCTTGGTCATTTACTGTATAGGCACTAGGAGGAACATTTAATAATTACCCTCTGGCTTAGTAAGGTTTGGGGACCCAGTCTGTATCACTTAAGAGTTCTAGCAAGAAACAGATTGCTCCCCAAGAAGGGTAAAGGAGAGTTTAATGGAGTTACTAATATATTTCTAAAGTTTATTTAGTTTTTAGAGAGAAAGAAGTGTTCCTACCAGGCTCTCCATGCCACACTTCACCCCCAGGCTCATCCAGCCCATATCACAGGGACCTGCACACATGCGTGGCATGTACAGGGAGGCCCTAGGATGTGGACACAAGACCTTATCATGTGGGTCCACTTGTGTCACCATTGCACCATTGTCTAGATTCAAAGGAGAGAAAATGTGCAAAAGATTTGAGTAGTGTCCAAGATACCCTAAAAGAGATGATAAAGCACCAGGAGTCTTTAATAGTGGGAAGCTGCCACCAGTTCTTTGCCTAAAGAAGGTGCTGTAGGGACTGTGACCTAGAGTAAAAGGCTTTAATTGTTGTTATGCTATGCCAGCAGAAAGGTACCCCTCTTTACTCTCACCTCTAGTCTCCCATAACTGCCTCCATTAGCTAAACACACCCAGCAGCCGAAGGCCTAGAGAGACCATAGATGTAGTCCCGAGAACCAGTCTCCCAGGGGCACAAAGCAGAATGAAGAAGGTGGGAGAATGAACTTGGAGTGGCAGATAGGGCTATCTAGAAAATGACTTATAATATTTTTGCTTTCTTTTTCTCATTTTATATGACAAATGTTGGCTTTATTTCTTGAATATAAAAGTAATGCATTTCAATTGCAGAACATTTAGAAAATGGCCTTTAATCCTGGAACCCTGTTTTCTTTTAGTTAGGACATGTTTTGGGTTGAAGGCATGTGAGTTTATCCAGTGTGATTTTACATTGAAAGGATCATGAAGCAAGCTTATTTCTATGGCTAAGATCTCACAAAAATATTCTTAACTGCCAAAACATGTACCAATGTTATTCTGGAACATTTTTGTCTTTCTGCCTATACTAAGTATCCTTACCATGTCATCTTCCTACAAGTGTTACACTGTTGACATATTAAATTCCTTTATATATTTTTGAAGACCATGTTGTTCTGTATTTTCCCCCATTAAACTATCATTGCTCAGTAATAAAAAGAAACCCTCCTATCATTTAATTTCTACCAATACCATTTTATACAACTTCTTTCTATGCTCACATTTTTATAGAGTGACAATCATTAGGGATATATAGCTTTGTATCCAGCATTCGATTTTAGCTTTCCTTTTTTGTTTTTTAACTTAGCAATGAAAAACTTTTTTTTTCAGGGTTAGCCTTATAGAGGCGCTTAAGATTGAATATAACTGGTAAGATATTTTTGTTACTTGTGTGTACTTTGGTTATAAACAGCCTTTGAGTGACTGCTTTAGAATTCTGCCTGCTGCTGTTTGGTCAGCCTTAGAACACAGTAATTGTAATCTTTCCTTAGTGGATGCGAAGGACATTTTTTCTTGGCATATTGAATCAAATGCCTTATGGGGTTCTCTCCCTAAGAACAAATATAAAAGCAAAGTTTCTCCCTCCCCCCACTCTCTTAACTACTTTGTCAATTTCACTGCCAACTCCTGCATAATATAGTCAAATTATGTGTTAGAAATTCAACCCTGGTTTCCTGGGTGATGGTGCAATGCCACTACTTAGTATTCCTAGTCACATAGCTCCAATTCCATCAGGCTCTTAATCTATATATATCTTCATGTTAGAGAAGCAGACTTTCAAATCAGGCATGTATTAAGAGCTTAAATATACAGAGTGTGAAAATATTTAGTTCTTGAGTTCAGAAATAATGCAGGACATTTTTTGATATCACAATCTTGCAACACTATCATATGGACAGCATTTCTTAGATTTGGTGATTTTTAGAGTGCATCTTTTCAGCTCAATCCTATAATCTCAGAATTCTTCATATTCTCTTGTAGTCTGTCGTCTGACTAAATTTTAAATATGGGCCTATTTTCTCAGCTTTAGTTTTCATAAACCAGTGACTAGTTTTCTTCTGGAGCTTGCACAACTAGGGCATACTTTCAAATTTTGGTAAAGTTATTCAGTTGTATTGTTTTGAAATGACTTCCAAAGAGTTACATAAAATGAATGTTGTGAACTATAGACTCCAGTTCAAAATGACCAGATCTATGTGATTTAAACCTGGAAATTCTAGCTTTTTCTAACCACTGATTGCTATAATTATCTGTGATGAATATTTACTTTTGTACTTACACATTTGACAGGTTTAAACTGGTGGCAAAATACAGATTATATTTTTTTCTGTCATATATACATATACATATATATCTATATCTATCTATATATATGTTCCCAGGACTAGGATTCGAACCACGGCGGGCCCTGTGGAAGTCCAACACCCTTAACCACCATGACACCTGCTGGCCCCAAAAATCATATTTCTTAAATTCTGAATCTTTCATGTTTTAGCTGTGTTACTTTGGTCAAATAATTTTCCTGACTTTCTGCTCTCTCATTAGGAGAAAAAAAAAGATGAAGATTATCTTATAGACTTCCAGTGGAGTCAAATAAATATTTTATGAGAAACTACTTTGTGAGCTATAAAGCCTTATACAAATTCATATTATTTTTATAGTCTTCATAATTATTGATGATTTGGGAGCCTAACTTTCACCCTCTATTCTTACTCCTCCCAAATAACTTTTCATCAAGTTTTTTGATTTTTAAAATTTTGTGAACTTATTTTATGTCCAGCATGTCAAATTTAATTGGCTTGGCAAATAGTGACATTTGCTTATACATGTAGATTGTGCACATTTAAAATAAATATTAGTGTAGAGAATATACCATGCATTTTTATTTAAGAATACAGTGCTTTTCTTTTTTCCTTTCCCCTGTAGGTTTTAAAAACTGTCAGCAAAGCTGCACTAAACAACAAACATCTTAAGAGGGAATATTTCCCATCTCTATAATGAAGAAAAGCAGGAGTGTGATGACAGTAACGGCCGATGACGTAAGTTCCGAAGGGCAGCATTGCTGTATTCCACTCACATTTTAGCTGTTCACTGAAGAAATTGATCTAGAATTCTATTCAAAGAGCAGACAGGAGAGTCTGACACCACCACTCTGTGACTGGGAGTTTCGGTGGCAGGAACATTGCCAGCACCTGGCCCAGCACTCTGCAAGGTGGACAGCAGGGACAGTTCTCTCTGTGGTTTGGAGCTGGGCTGAGTTTCAGCTTTGTGGTTTTCATTCATAAAACCATCAATCTCTGGTACACGCCACATCCTCGTAGATAATTCGTCTTTCCACGCTGCTTGCATTATTCATTCTCTAATGACTTTCTTCCATACCTTTACCACTGACAGCTAATCTTGAAAGTTAATTCCTATGGTGGGTGTAAGCTAACTACCCTTCAGAAGTTTGTGATGTAAACATTTTCAAGGTCTTTGCTACCCAAATATGGTCCTCAGACCGGTGGCATTAACTTCACCTGGGTTTTGCTTATTGAAAATGCAGAACTTTGGTTCATACCTTGAACCAATAAAATCCTAGAATGACTAGGGTGTACATTATGGAAAAAATGCATTTTAAAATATTTTCACTATATATTCAACTACTGAACGCAAGCAATTAATTATGACTAAAGGAATTATAAAATAGGTTAGAGGAGAAAGAGTTACAGGTTTTAGGGGGAGTTTAAAAGGGAAAAATGACTAGAGAGACAGAAAACAAGAACCAGGAGATGTGTATGTAAAAGTGAGAGAGAGAAAGAAGAAATAGCTAATACATATATGCTGTATTACATATAGGTACATACTATATAATAGTTAAATATATAAAATGACATATACTAATTTTATAACTCTTTGCGTGCATAGGACTAAAACCAAAAGACAAAATATCCACATTTATACCTCAGCTTTGCATTTCTTCTTTTTTTTTTTTCCTTAGAAAGTTTTGTTTTGTTTTTACTATAGGGCATGTACGCTCGCTGGAGGCACAGGGAGAGACAGAGAGATAAAGTGAGAAATCACCCCCCAGGGAAGATGGATAAGCTGCAGTCCTCTCTCCATTCTCCTCCTGGGGTTCTGGACATACACATACATGCCTGACATGAGTTTGAAGTTGCTAGGTCTGGGACTCGAACTTCAGTCAGCCATGTGGGAGACCAACACTTTAACCACCATGCCATCTGCTGGCCCCCATTTTTGCATTTTTCATCACAGATATTAGGAGATTATTTCAAAGAAGGAAAAGTACTTGGTAAACAATTAAGAATTAATCTGTAGGCAGACTTCTCTTACAATCTATGGCAACTGCTCATGATGAAACCATATTGTTCAAAGACAAAATTGCTTCTATTATTGTTTCATAAGCATTGTGATACTTAGCTTTGTTAGGGTTCCCTAGTGTCATTTAATGCTCCTCATAATTTCCATTTTTGATTTTATAAGATTTGAAAACTCTGACCTATGATCCAAACTAAAAATGAACCTAACTACTCTAGAAGTCCTTGGAAATATGTTATCCTATTTTCTAACCAAGAATTTAATGGGAATTCAATAATTAGAGAAAGATCTTAAAATGGCAGAAATAGACAAAGACAGAACATAATGATAGTAACAAACCCACAACTGCTTAGGCACAAATAAACTTGTCTGGACATTCCAGCGGTTCTAACTTGGTTGGCGTTGATGTAGAACAAGATAGAGATCAATTTCTTAGGTGTCTTCCTTCCCCTCCTCTCTGCAAACTTTCCTGCAAAATTTCACACCAGGTTTATCTCTGCGATAACCTTTTGAAATTACATTGTCAAAAACACTGATTTTCAAAAACAGTTATTCAGGAACCTGGGGATAATCCAAACCTAGATTGTTTCCTTAGGAATTATTCAAACATAAGGTGAGTCTTGTAAAGTATGACACAGTTTTAAAGTTGTGATTTCCAGAGGTAGCATTCAAATTAATGTGCCTTTCTGCAAATTGTTAATTGGATGAGTGGTTTTAAGTTGGTCAGAATCAGGCTGATTAAAAATAGGGAAATAACTCCAGATCACCAAGTCAGTAGTTGAAAATTGACTGAATTAGATATTGCCTTTGAGTTCATTAGTAATTTGGGGAGAGTGATGTATAAATCATAGGTATAAATTTATGGTTTGAAGTAATTATGAATAACTTCATGGTTTACTGAGTGTTTATAAAACAATATTAATGTTTTTAGTATTTAACTTCTAAAAAGCTATTCCATTATGTTCTTTTGTGGCAATGCATTTTCACATTAACTGAATTCTTCTGAAACAAATCTTTTCAACTCAAAGAATGACTTCGAATCTGTTAATTCAAGCTTCTTAGCAACTTAGTGTGGGAGATATTTTGTTATATGTGTGACTTTGTTACTTTTCAAATAACAAGTACCCTTTTAGTTCATTTATTATGATTAAACTTGTTGGGGATACTCATTTCCTTTTTCTAAAAGAGAAAAAATATTGAATAGCTATTTTAGGAGGATGTGGTAGTTGCTGGTTTATCTAAATTATTTCCTTATTTATTTTCTTTGGTACTATGTTTTTTACACAAGTAAATATGTGGTTAAGAATTGTTTTTTAGAAATCAGTATTTTTTTAAATGCATATTTGAAACTAGACTCATTATAATTTCTGCCTTTTCATTTGTTCTTAAATATTTCAGGAAGTTTTTGTATGTTGTATCTTTTCAACTAGTTTGTAGTTCTTTCAAAAAATACACACACACACACACACACACACACACACACACACACTGAGTTTCCCTTTCCAGCTCTAACACACATGCACCATGCAGTGCTTAAAAACAAAATTTTAGACAAACTAAAATTTAACGGAGTTTATTTAAACAAAGGGCAGGTGATTCAAATTAGGTAGTCTCCCAGAAAATGAGCTCCAAGAGACTCCAGCTATCCGCATGGTCAAGAGGTATGTAAGTTTGTGGAAAGGAAAAGTAACGTTCTCAGGAAAGGAAAGGGACATTGAAAAACAGAAGTAAAGGAATGAGGTAGAGAAATCAGTGGACTGGTTACAGCTGGATAATAGGCGGCATGAACAGTATAAAAGCTGGGCTTTCTGTGATTGAATGAAGTGTGGCTAGTGTGATTGACTGTAATTTAGCAACCAGTTCAGGAAAACAGCCTAACATGTACGATTTTGGCTTATCCCTGGGAATCTAAGTGTGGGAGTACAATGGCTGTTTTAGGCCAACATAGTGTAGTTTAACAGTAATAAGTGCTAAGTAGTAACTAAACAGTAAAACACCGATGCATTCCAGGATATTTCAAACTGAAAATTCTAGATTGTTTTGTCTTCCTGTTACTGAATTGTGTTTCTACTTACTTTCCAGTAAATGGTGTTTCAAAACCCAAAGTCAAACACAAGAAAATAAGATAATATTCTGTTTCCAAGTAGGGAGAGTGGGCCTCTTAACAATTATTAATTTTTTGTCCATATTTTCATCATCAAAATATGTCTTTTGTAGGTCAGATGAGTATGAATGACTTCTCTGAGAACAAATACTGTGTTTCTTTTTTCCATGTATCCTGTTTAAATAGCACAGGACAAAACTATAACAGATGTACTTAAATATTTGCTGAATGAGCCCAGCTAGACTCTCAAACTTGAGTTAATCTCATATGAACTAGAATAAAGTCAGTCTGGTGGAGAAGTGGAGGGTAGAGAACTTTTGTTTGTTTAAACCTTAGGAAGTTCTAGTCTTAGGTCCTCCTAAGTCTAGTATGAAGTAGGAAGTACCTGTCTTTTTAGGACCACAGAAGGTTTTCAGATGACTTTGGCCTACTGGTAGGACTTCATTATTCCCTGTAGAGATAAGTATAGAGAATGAAAAGTATAGCTTTTAAGCTCCAAGTTGCTGTGAGTGGCCATTGCAGTGGTGTAACATTTTCTGTTTTGAGCTGGTGTGAATGGTACACAAGGCAGAGACTCATTCCAGACTTTCACTCCCAAGGGTACCAGGAACCGTAGTCACCAAGAGATATAGAAAGAATGATGAATTCTTATCATTGATTATAGCAAAATGCCATTGTCTTCTCACAAGTATTTCATTCATGTCAGTATTAGGGCATGTTCTTGAATGTGGCAATTCAGAACTTAATGAAATATGACTCTCCTTTTTTCTGAACTCTCACATAATTCGATTAAAAAAAATCATCAACTATGAGAAAACATTTTACAGGAACAGGGACAATCACCCATAATGATCAACATCCTGCTTCCTAAAATGGAAAATATTTTTACTTTAAGACATTTAACAAGAAACTTTATATTTCAGTTTTTTTCTGAAATGATAACACTGGTTTCTAAAATATATTTTCAACTTAGCACAATAACAAAAAGAAAAATAGAAAGAAAAGAGGAAGCCCTTTCATCCATTTGCAGGAACTGATAAACACCATCTACTTGCTTAAAGGTATCTAATATGCAACTGGTAGGTTAACTCTAAAAGTTGAGAATCGACAACTCCATCTCCAACACCCCCTTGTGTTTTCTCCTAAGCTTTGGCATCAATGTTAGATTTAAATGAAAAGATAATGAATTAGGTTTTCACAAGTGACAGCTTGATCATTTAGTTTCTTATTTTTCGTCATCATTTTAAATACTAGAATTTCATTTTCTTTTTCTCCTTTTTTCTTTCCCTGTGGTTTCTCCAGAATGTTAAGGATTATTTTGAATGTAGCTTGAGTAAATCCTACAGTTCTTCCAGTAACACACTTGGGATCGACCTCTGGAGAGGAAGAAGGTGTTGTTCAGGGAACTTACAGTTACCACCGCTGTCCCAAAGACAGAGTGAGAGGGCAAGGACTCCTGAGGGAGATGGCATTTCCAGGCCAACCACACTGCCTCTGATGACGCTTCCAAGCATTGCAATTACAACTGTGAGCCAGGAGTGGTGAGTAGCCTCAAAACTAAATGTCAGTTTCATAGTTTATTTTTCGATTACTCCAATGCAATGTCCTATTATTAAACTGTTACCTTTCTGTAAAATGACTATTGACATTTTGAAAATTTTTTTCGCCTTGGGGAGCAAGAAGAACCTGTTAATAATGGAGATATTTTCTACATCTAAAGGTTGAAAGGAGAATGCTTCATATGGAGTCCATTGAGGAAGGAATAAGATAAATTTGTATTAATGTCAAGGAAAAGCAAAATTACTGTCTATGAAATTATTTTTAGTAATATTCCAGTGTGCATCAGTACTTTCATACTTAGAAAAGAAAAATTATATAAGAATACATGTAAGATGGATAAGCACACACATATACACGTTATTATGTATATATATATAGTATATATATACATATATATAGACACACACACATATGAGTATATATAAAATAGCCTATTCTTATTATAATTCAAGTTTACCAATCTGTTTGTAATTATCTATAAAATAAAATAATTCATCATAAATCAAAAGAGGAATGAAAATTGTGCTATGAGATGCTTGGACTGTTTTGCAGTCAACATTGTGAAACAGGCTGTTTTTAAGTTAGTGTTGAGAGTTAATTAAGTGTATATAATCTTGTAACTATGGTTAAATTGTGCCATGATACGCCTACAAATATATTTTATCATATATTTAATAACTAGGACTTTCTCTCTCTCCTATTCTTTATATAATTTTCAAGTATTTTTAAAGACTGGCATGTTTACATAACATGGAGATTTATTGCTAAAATGAAAAACATTTTCTCTATTTTATATCATTTTAAATTATACTAATAAGGTGGTGCTTTTAAAATTACTTTTTATTTAAATCATTTATTAAGAAGAAAGATTATATATACTAAATTATTATACAAATCCTTTTAATAAATCATTACAATCAGTAATTTTTATGGTGTGCAATATACCCGTGCAACATGCTGAGCTTCATAATGCTGATAAGTTGCCTAATATTGCTCCTTGAATGGACATCTTTTATCAGTGTGTTAGTCTAGCACACTGAGAATTAGATCACAGAAACTCCAAGTTTCACAGAATACCATGAAATGGTTCATTAAACAATATGTGTGATAGAGAACCAGGCTAAAATGTTGACGGAAGATGGTTAAAATTTTGAGAAGCATTGACTTTCATCTTCTGTTCAGCTGCATTTACATTATAATAGTCATAGCCAACCACTGAAAGCTAAAATGGGTTCATGGCTCCGTACAGCTAACTCAGTCACATAGCTTATGTGATTAGCCGTGGTTGTTCTTCTGTGTAATTGTGGATTTGGAATCTTAAAGATGTCCAGCTCTATTATCCATCTACTTGGGACTGATACAGTTATACCAGTTGTTAAAATATTGAAATACTTCTGTACCAATTGGTAAATATATACTTTTCTAAGCCCCTTGACTACCTCCACTATCATCTCCAACTTTTCCCCAGAAGCCCCCAGAAATTCCTCACAATCCAAAAGCAAAGAAGGGATCCATTGGAATAGCAGTAGAGGTTTTGATGGATATTTGATGCTACATCTGTTAGATATTTTGAATAACACTTTGATAAAATGTACCTTGGCAGAGTGTGAGTTCATCTAACTCAAGGACATTTTGGTAGTTATGGAATGGTTCTTCAAAGCATCAAAATGTTATTGCAGTTCGGGGCATGATCATTTTCCCAAATTAATGGCTTTTGTTTGTACAAAGAGGGTAATAATACTCATCTCATAGGCTGTTGTGAGATTTAAATAAAGTAGTCTTTATAAGGTATGTAGTTTAGTATAAAATATATGTCAGGTAATTAGGAAATGTTATTTTGCCTCCTTTCCAACTATTATCCAAAAAAGCCTTCTGAAATTAAAAGCAAGTCTTAAGTATTAGTAGCCTCATGTAGAGTATCAGTTGCTACGGTGAAATGTAGGAGTAAGCCATTATTTAGAGCATTTATATACTCAGCTCATACTACATATTCATAACATGACTATTTATTTTAATTCATGGAATACTTGTAAAGTATGAGCATATTCAGTCATTAATCCTAAATTTATTTTTAAATATAAGGAACTGAATGCATTTCTGTATATCTCTTGAAAATGCTTCCTCTGTAATATTGATAGTTGAAGACTGGTAGAATTGCTAGCAGAGGAATCTGATCTGCAATCATTTGACTAGAAGTGAAGAAGTAGGTTTTGACTATTATCATTGCCATCAACTTGATGAAAGTTCTCAGAGGTAGGGAATGCAGGCTGGAATCATGTGTGAGAAAGAATTTTACTTACTACTTAGTGTACTGAGACTATGGGATCGATCTCCATATCTAGACCAACAGTTAGCAAGCATTTTCTGTAAAGGGCCAGATAGGAAACATTTTCGTATTTATGAGCCTTCCAATTTCTGTTGCAACTACTTACCGTTGCTACTATATTAGGAAAGTAGTGTCAAGACAGACTAACCATCCAGCAATTGGAGATGCTAAACCTGGGCAAACTCCCTCCTTCTCCCTTACACAGTCAGAAAGCAAACCAACCCCTACAAAGTTTGTATGACAGAGAATCTGTGGAAATCATGCTCATGTGAGAAAGTAAAGGGAAGAACTAATCACACGGCTAATCACATCTTGTCCTGGAAATACCAATAAAGATTAAATTACTCCCTCTTTCTGGGAAAGACTGAATAAGGAGGCATGAAGAGCCTGAAATTTTATACTGGTGGCATTTCAGACACATGGAAGCACATCAAGAGTGACAGAAATGTTCTTTCTTAACGTTTTCCATTAAAAAAAAAAAATCTTTTAACCTACAGCCTATGGTCACACCAACATACAGTTAGTTTTCAGAAGCACATATCAAGAGTATACTATGACAGTCTTACTGATATCTTCTGAAGCTGTTCTCTCAAGATCTGCCACTGCCATTTTTATAGCCAATGAAAATAAAATCTCAAATCAGTTACTTGCCTTAGTAAACTAAAGTTCAAATAGATTAATTCAAAATTTATCCTCGTCATCATCTTAATTTTCTAATTATGTTATTTAGTTACTGGTCTTTCAATTCCTTCAGTCTTCTGATGACAGCCGAAATGGTGGTGTAGGTCCAGGCACCACCAGCTACGGTTTTCATGCAAGAAGCACAGTGCCAGATCCCCACAGCCCATCTCTTCATCTTAGTTTTGCCACAGAAGGAGCAAGTATATTTGGCGTGCTGGCTGATTTCAATTTTCTTCTCCATTTTCCGGAGGGAGGCACCATAGCGGGTCCCGTATTTACCGATGATGCCGACCTTCTTGGTGCATTTAGCCTTATTGCCACCAACTAGGTCCGAGCCCAGAGAGAGCATGTTAGTGGGTTCTTAAGGACTGGTGTAAAATGAGGATTTTCTAAGTAGCTGCAGCTTAAACCATCTTTCACTATAAAAGCTGTAGTTTCTTCAGTCCTACATAAATTGTGCTAGTATATAACTAAGTCTCTGATGGGCTTCACTTTTTAAATAATTAAAGGAATTGGGACCAGCAGATGGCATAATGGTTATGTCACTGGACTCCCATGTAGTCAACCGTGGTTTGAATACTGAACCCTATAGCTTAAAACTCAGCTGGGAGCATGTGCGTGCATGTCCAAAATCCCAAGAGGAGACTGGAGGAGAAGGGATTGCAGAGTGGACATTCCCCCTGGGGGGTGATTTCCCACTTTCTGTCTGTTTCTCTCTGTCTGTCCAGTGAGCGCACATGGCCTATAGCAAAAATCTCTCTTAAAAAAAAAATACACATAGGAATTTATTTATTTTTTAAAGAATTATTTAATTTTATTTATTTATTCATTGTATTTTGTTTTGACCAGAGAGAGAGAGAGAAAGAGAAAGAGAAAGAGGGAAAGTGGAAAGCAAGCTACCAGGTCCAGGACTTGAACCATGGTTGACCATGTGGGAGTGTCCAGCACCTTAACCACCATGCCACCTGCTGGTCCCCAATTAAAGGAATTTATTAATCCACTAAGTTTATCAAAGTAATACTCTGTAACTAAATTTAGAAAATAAGCCTATTTTTAGCCTTGAATATTTACAGTTAATCTATAACTTCAATCTTTCTTCTTGAGAATCTTAGAATACTTTAATTCCTTCTAGCCCTTCCCAGTTTATAATTTTTTTCATTGCTAGAAGGCATGTGCATTTCTAGAGAGATACAGAAAGACAGAGAGAGATAAAGCACTTTCTAATGGACATGGTAATGCTGTAATCCCTTCTTCACCGTATTTCCATCCTGTTCAGATTTTAGGCATGCATGTTCACATACCTGACATATTTTTCAGACTGCCAGGGTCAAAACATGAACTGTCGTCCACCATATGAGTCCCTGCGCCTTTAACCACTAGGCTACAGAGCTGACCCTACAGTTTATTTCCATGTATTTCAGTCCACTATATAAATATTTTACCCTCCAATACATTAATTTTTTTCGCATTCAGTCTTTAATTTGAATTTTCCCATATACTTACCATTATGTTTGTTTTAAATTTCCTTTTATATCTTAGACACTTCCCTTCAGTCACTTCCCTTTTTGTCTGAAGCGAGTTCTTTAGAATTTATTTTTGTTTATCTGAAAATGTCTTTAATTTGTCCTCATTATCGAAAGATTTTTTTTTCATTGTGTAACAGTGACTTTCTTTCAGCACTTTGAAATGATTGTTTCCCCTGCTTTTTGACTTCTATTGCTATTGGGGGAAATAAGGTGTTTATATAATTTTTTTTTTATAAATAATATGCCAGCTTTTAGTGCCTGGATTTTGGCAGTCAGCTTTGATGTGTCTGGGGTGGATTTTCTTTCTTTTTTTAAAATCTTATATAAGATTTTTAAAGCTTTCTTGAATATGTAAATTGGTGTTTTTCAAACTAAATGTGGTATATTCTTTTCAATTATGTCTTCAAATATTTTCCTGATCAACCTCTCTCCTCTGCTTTTAAACTTCTGAT